ATTTCTTCGTGTTTTTTTCTTTAAAAAATTCTGTTTTTTTTAATTTTGTATACGTTCTTTTTTTCACTGTATTGCCAACGTTCGTTTTGTTCTCATTTCTTACTTTGTCTTTACATATTTATCATTCTCGTCTTAAGCTTTTTAATTGTACTTTCCAGTACAGATACCTTCCACCTCGTCGTAAAGTTTTTGTGTTATAATCTCAACTTAAGTCCAAAATCACACGGATGTAATAGAATTTCATATGCAAGTGTACCTCTGAATTTACAAAAATATTTTTCCAAATAATGCTGGTCATTGTTAATGAAAAATTGTAAAGTTGGAAAAGTGTAAGCGTCTATATTTGCGTGTCTTCCTTACATATTAAAAACTTATATTATATATATTTTTTGCTGGTCCTCTTACAACAGAATTTTTCATTTAAAAACAAAAAGTTAGCTTTGAATATGTAGTTAAGCTTCTCAGAAAGTAACCAAAACATTGACCGATATTTTCGGTAACCAATATTCGTTCATTGACTCCTTGAATTGCATCAGATGTGGCCTGAATACTTTCTTGAAAATAAATGAAATTTGACAAAGCAATTATTAGTAAACAATACCTACCTACCTACCTACACTTTGAACAGTTTCAATAAATCGTTCGTGTCGAGATCGGAAACAACAACACCCACCATTTTTTTTTTTTTTGTTTTATTATTATCCACTACAATTTATAACAGAATAACATCGAATTTGATGTCTTCATCTAAGGTCTGGGTGAACTCTTTTGGCACACAACTAAAAATAAGTCATTACTAAAAGGACATATGCACATATGTGTTTCTTATGGTTTATAGTATCGGTACTACAATTAGATTGCTAAGACATTGCCGATTGTACAAATCCGCCATCATGGGGAAATACAAAGTTATTCGGTTCAAATATTTCTGTTGCTGCGAGTATACCTTGCGATCTTTCTTTCCGCGGTATTTGTATACTCTTGCAACATGCTGCTACAGAGTATAATAGTTTTGTTCATATAACAGTTGTTTGTATCACATTTAACTGATCGAGATAGATACATGTTGAGACGAGTGGAAATCGGAGTGACTGTCTGTCTGTCCGTCCGTGCAAGCTGTAACTTGATGCATTTTTGTACACATGTGGTGTGTTGGCGGAAATTTCGGTATTGTAGATGGGCGTAATCCAATCCTTGCCACGCCCACAAAACGCCTTTCATCGAAAATGTATGAATTGCCAAAACTAAGCCGTAAATTAATACTATGTTCGCACCGACACAAAATTCGTGTTTTCATAGACAAAAGAGGTTTTCACGCGAAAACTTGTGTTTTCATCCATACAAAATCTGTTAAACGAAAACACAATTTTCGCTGAAAACCCCTTGAAAACTTACATTCCATTCGTTATAATCGGTGCCTGCTCTAGTTTAATCGATATTATTTGAAGACATATTTTGCCAGCCTTAAATGTCAGTTGACAATTTGTTTACATTCCATAATTGGCCTAAACGTACCCTACAAGAAACTGCCGATGAGTTCACCAATACAGTCACATTTGATATGTCAGTACTGTTAATTTACATTTGCATTTTTATACTCTCGCAACCTGTTGCTACAGAGTATAATAGTTTTGTTCACCTAACGGTTGTTTGTATCACCTAAAATTAATCGAGTTAGATATAGGGTTATATATATATAAATGATCAGGATGAAGAGACGAGTTGAAATCCGGGTGACTGTCTGTCCGTCCGTCCGTCTGTCCGTCCGTCCGTGCAAGCTCTAACTTGAGTAAAAATTGAGATATCTTTATGAAACTTGGTAGACATGTTTCATGGTACCGTGAGACGGTTGGTATTGCAGATGGGCGTAATCGGACCACTGCCACGCCCACAAAACGCCATTAATCAAAAACAAATAACTTGCCATAACTAAGCTCCGCAATAAGATACAAGACTGTTATTTGGTACACAGGATCACATTAGGGAGGGGCATCTGCAGTTAAAATTTGCGTGGGCGTGGTCCCGCCTCTAATAGGTTTAATGTGCATATCTCCTAAACCGCTAATGCTATAATAACAAAATTCACTGGAAGCAAATGTTTTTAGCACTTCTATTGACGGTGTGAAAATAGTTGAAATCGGGTGGCAACTCCGCCCACTCCCCATATAACGGTACTGTTAAAAACTACTAAAAGCGCGATAAATCAAGCACTAAACACGCCAGAGACATTAAATTTTATCTCTGAGATGGTATAAGATGACTTTATAGGAACCGCGTTCAAAATTAGACAGTGGGCGTGGCACAGCCCACTTTTAGGTGAAAACCCATATCTTGAGATCTGCTCAACCGATTTCAACCAAATTCGGTGCATAACGTTCTTTTTATGTTTCTATGTCATAGTGCGAAAATGGGCGAAATCGGACTACAACCACGCTTACTTCCCATGTAACACCATTTTCAATTCCATCTGATTCTTTCACATTCCACTATGCAAATCAGGTAAAAATGATTATATCGGGGTAAAACTTTGCGTGAATAATGCAATTAAAGTATGCCACCTTGCGGCCAAAAATTGTCTAAATCGAACCAAAACTGTTCAAACCCCTAAGTACTAAATATGTGGACCCCAGTGCCTATAGTTGACCTTCTACCGAAAATATCAGTCAATCCACAAAGAAATCTCAAACGAGTATACCATTTGACCTTGCGAGAGTATAAAATGTTCGGTTACATCCGAACTTAGCCCTTCCTTACTTGTTAAATTCAGAATTATCCACTGATTGGAGAAAGACGTACGCAGAGCTATTGAGAGGAGGAGATGGCATCAAACTCACACACATACATTTGTTTACATCAGTTTTTTCACAAGGCTCTTAACAAAATGGTTGTTCTGCGCGCTGGCAAAATTTTTTCAGCTATGACTGTCATATTACCCATCAGATGACAGTCACTGTTCTTGTAGGGTACATAGCAAATGTAAACAATTGTGTTTTCAAGAGGATTTCAATTCGGTGCGAACATAGTATAGAATACAAAACTGTAATTTAGTTCAATGAATCACACAAGGAAGATGCGCCTGTGAAAATTTTTAAAAAGTGGACTTGGCCCGCCCCAAAATAGGGCTTGACGGCTTCGTTAACAAACAAAATTGTCGCTATTGGGGTGAGTCAAATCCTCGTATGGTTCAGGAAAAGCAATTGCATCCCCAAAAATTTACCGTTTGGGCCGATTGTATGGCGGCATTCTTATTACTTTCGGAATGAGACAGAAAATGCCGTTACCATCAATAGGGAGCGTTATTACACGAAATTGACCGAATTATTTCCCAGAACTTAATGAAAACATTAATTCCAGCCGAAGTGCTAACTACGCCCACTCCCTATATGACGGTTTTTGTTAAAAACCACCCACATTGGACGATTGACGTCACATATCTCCGGACCTACTCCACAAATTTCAACTTCGGTAGGTAAAATTATCCTAAAATTCTTATGGTGCGAAAATAGGAGAAATCAGATGACAACCACGTCTTCCCATATAAAACAACTTTAAATTCCATCTGATTCTTTCACTTTCCAGTATACAAATCAAGTACCAATGAATATATTGGGATACAACTTTACAGAAACAGTGCCTTTAGGGTATCCCATCTCAAGTTTGAAAAGTTTCAAAATCAGAGAATATCTGTTCAAGACCCCAGATATCGAAAATGTGGACCCCATTTGCCATGGCTGACTTTTTACCGAATATATCGTTCAATGTGTGAGATATATAATTGAATTTCGGAGATAATCTTCTCCAGACTATAGTATGTCTGTATATATACAAGACAGAGGTAACCAATTCATTACTACACTTGCAAAATTGCGTCGAGGAGGCTAAGAATGTTTGGAGCACACCAACTTAAAGAAAATAACGGCCAACACTGCTATTAATACGCAGAGGACTGTCATCTCGTAAGTTCGAGAATACGTAAATGTCTACTATGAGAAGCCCGATTTATGAATGCTGTGCTGCAGTTCTACGGCTTGCAAAATGACTTAAGCCCCACCAATTTTACAACAAAATTAAAAATGGCGGAAAGTGGGGCTAAAGTCATTTTCGTGGGGATTAATTATTTTTTTTTAGTGGGGATTCTGTCATGTAAGAACCCCCACGTTTGGTGGGGCTTAATTCATTTTGATTGGTGGGGATAAAAGCATTTTCGTGGGGTTTAATTCATTTTAATTCCGTGATCTTTTATAAAAATAAAACAAACAGTTAGCAACGTAAAAATATAATACTTTTCAAATTTTATTTAATTGTTTTGCTTTCTTTCTCCATATTTTCGTAAGTCTCCGTTACAAAAAACTATTTGATTAAGTATAACATTATAGCTATAGTACTTGTGAGCGTTTGGAGAATTTTCAAGCCATAAGAGTAAATCTGATATTTTTTTGTAGTGAGTTTTTGTGAACGGTATCCATCGTATTAGTTGAAAGAGTTGCGACTCGCTGATTCCATTAACGAAAGCAAAACAACAAACTATTAATTGCGGCTTATAACTTTTTCCCAAAAAGGATCAATTATAAATCAGGAACATGAGGAAAGTTTATAGTATCGCTTTATTTAGTAAGATCTTCCTTGCGTTTATACGATTATTCTCTATTTGTTTCAATTTTTCTATATTTATTTTTATGCTGAATACGAGAACTGTTTTAAAATCACTCTATTAAGATTGAATTGTCAAGATTTTTCCTTTACGAAAGGTTAAAATCACTAATAGTGCACATTTCGTAAAAGGAGAAACCATAATTTTGTAAATTATAAAATAATAGAAGGAATTTTCCTTTTACGAAAGGTTAAATATCACAGTGTACATTTCGTAAAAGGAGAAACCATAATTTTGTAAATAATCATATAATAAAATCCATCTCTTACAGCTATTTTTCATGGGATAGTGAATTTCCTGCTGGGTTTTTTTTGCATTCAATAATAGAGCGCAAACTAACTGTTAAACCGGTTTTGCATTCAATTGTCGAATAACTATGTTATCACATTACATTATATTATGCAAATTTAGTTGTTATGAAATCTTAAAGCGAATAACGCGACGTGATAGGAACAAGACTTTAAACTATGAACACGTGGTTGGAAAAAGAATAAATAGCAAATTGTTATATGTTACAGAGGAAAAACAATTATATTCCAAAAAAAACTATTAAAAAAGAAAAATATTTTTATGCTTGTTACGTGAAAACATGCAAAGCGAGGGTGTTTTTGAATAGTGAGGTGTGTTATAAGGTTAAAGATTTCATTGATCATAATCATGAAACTCAGGAGGATACGTACAGGGAATTAAAGATTATGAATAATATGAAGACATCCTGTATGGGAATACATCAAGATTCCACTGAACCGAGCGTTCTTGGAAGCATACGAAAAATATTTCAAAGTACTTGCGTTGAGTAGGTTCATTTTTATTATTATTATTTATTTTAATTAATTACCTCATAATCTCATAATTTCAGATACCCGGTGGAAACAAAAGATATTGATTTTTATAAACTCCAACGAAATTACCAAAAACCGGCAAATAAGCAATTTCTAATTTCTCCTAAAACACCAGCTGATGTTATCAAAGTATTTCAAGCTAAAGTAACTTTGAAAAAATTTGGGTATACAAAACATACCGGCGATGATGCCTCAACATTTTTTAAGATATGCTGTGATGCAAAAGACTTTGCCTATTGTTTGTTTTGTTCTGACAAAATAATAAATCTAATGAAAAAAAATATTCCTTCAAATGTAGACAGAAAATACTGGTTGATGCAACATTTTCTGTTTTACCTATTGGTAGCTTCAACAGCTTTAATTATTCACATTGAATATTTGAAACATTATGTTATATATATCAATTTGATAAATTATAAATATTTTTTTTGTTTCCTCAGGTGTTTCCTGCTATATTGTTCTTATGAACAAGAAAACAAAAAAAAGTTACGAACATGTGTTTAACTATATTAATACTAATGTGGTAAAATTAGACGGAGCGGTGTTTATGGCGGATTTTGAAATTGGATTGTGCTATAAAAAAAATATTAGAACATTCTAAGCTATTCGGGTGCTGGTTTCACTATTGTCAAGCAGTACGAAGAAATATGCTAACACAAGAGACACACATTGTTAATTGCTTTTCCACCATCAAGAAGAATTGCCCTTTCGACACACTTGTTTAAATTGAATTTTTTTAAAATACTTTGAAGAGCAATGGCTAAAAAAGTAAGTTGTTTTACATTAAATTGTTTTTAAAAATTATAAATATTCGAAATATTAAGATTGGCCAAGAAATCTTTCGGTCTTTGGACATAAGATCCGTACAACATCAGCTGTAGAATCGTATAATGCTGTGCTTGCCAAAATAATCCAAAACAAGGGAATTTTTCAAATTGTGGGACAGTTACAAATGGAGGAGTATTGCAAAGTAGGGAATTAGAATTGTTATCAACAGCGATGGTGCTTTAGGGAAACCAAAAAGAAAAACAAAGGAAAACGTTATGAGAGCAAATCTAATTGCTAAAGCGGAGACGGACCTGCTTAATGGACTCATAACCGCTACGAGTTTCTTGGATAGAATGGTCTTCTCTAGAAACAAAATAGTAACTGATATGGAGCCCTTTGAAAGACATAAAGTAAAAGGTTTAGAATATATGGAAGTAGAATCTGAAGTCGAAGAAGAATCCAATGCCACGGAAGAAGGTGGAGCAAATCCTCCACTGATATGCATAATTTGTTTGGAAAACAAACCTAATATTTTGCTTTTGCCATGCAAACATTTAAAATTGTGCAGTGACTCCACATCTAAAATAGAAGCAGAGAGTGTGGCAAACAATTTTAATAAATTTAAATGCCCTTTTTGTCGTCAAGATGTTGACGAATATTTACATCTTTTTATTTAATTATTTTCTTTTTCTCACATTTTCATATTTTCATTAAATCTTTACCATTTTCTTTTTAAATATTACATGCATATGTATAATTGAATTTTTGTTAAAATTTTGATTTAAAAACTTGAAGTTCAAAGTAAGCAAAATAAATTAAGAATGAAGTAAAGTGGGGCTAAAGTCATTTTCGTGGAGAGTAATTCCTTTTTTTTTCGTGGGGATTCTGTCATGTAAGAACACCCACGTTTGGTGGGGCTTAATTCATTTCGATTGGTGGGGATAAAATCATTCTCGTGGGGTTTAATGCATTTTTTATCGTTTTACCATATATAGTTATGCATAATTTAATCATAACTGATGATAATAATATATATAATTATATTAAAATGGTCCGACACAACAAGAAGTGAATATCATGATCAACTCAGGCGCTACAAACAACTGCATATCAAAACAAAAAAATGCAGAATAGGTAAGAGTATATCAATAGATCCTGTATGGACAAAATCAATGAATGGACATTCCATCATGACTAGTAAAAAAATAATACATCTGTTATGCCATGATTTACCATTTTTTGAACTAGAAGATATTAAAGATTTTGATATGATAATACGATTTTGTGGATTGAAAAAATTAAATGCAGAAATAGATTTCACGTCGCTACAATTAAAATATACAAATAAAAACAAAAATCAAAAAATAAATTACACAAATGATAATAAAGATTATGACGAGGAGATTAGAGAAATAATTAGGAGAAATAATAAAACAGAAAAGTTACCATTTACCACAACGATAGAAGCAACCATTAGGACAGAAAATTAACCTGTTTGGACGAAACAATACCAATATCCGTATGCAGATAAATATTTCGTCAATTTAGAAATAAAAAAATTATTAAAGAATAATGTAATACAACCTAGTAGAAGTCCTTATAACTCACCAGTTTGGACAGTACCAAAAAAGGTATAGATGAAATGGAAACCCAAGAAAAGATAGTGATAGATTTTCAAAATTTAAATTCAAAAACTATAACAGATAGATATCCTATTCGGATATAAACATGACAATACAAGATTAGGTAAAGCTAAATATTTTTCCACGATAGATCTAGAAGCAGGATTTCACCAATTATGATAAAAAAGTAAGGAAGGGCTAAGTTCGGATGTAACGCGAACATTTTATACTCTCGCAAAGTCAAATAGTATACTCGTTTGAATTTCTTTGTGGATTGACTGATATTTTCGGTAGAAGGTCATATTAGGCACTGGGGTCCACATATTTAGTACTAGGGGCTTAAACAGTTTTGGTTCGATAGACAATTTTTGCCACAAGGTGGCATACTTTAATCGCATTATTCACGCAAAGTTTATCCCGATACAGTCATTGTTGCTGATTTGCATAGTGGAAGTGAAAAATCAGATGGAATTTAAAATGGTGTTATATGGAAGTAGGCGTGGTTGTCCGATTTCGCCCATTTTCGCACTAATGAACGTTATGCACCGAATTTGGTTGAAATCGGTTAAGCAGATCTCAAGATATGGGTTTTCAACTAAAAGTGGCTGTACACCCACTGTCTAATTTTGAAAGCGGTTCCTATAAAGTCATCTCATACCATCCCAGAGATAAATTTAATGTCTCTGGCGTGTTTAGTGCTTGATTATCGCGCTTTTAGTAGTTTTTAACAGTACGTTATATGGGGAGTGGGCGGAGTTGCCACCGATTTCAACTATTTTCACACCGTCAATAGAAGTCTAAAAAAATTTGCTTCCAGTGAATTTTGTATATGCATTAGCGGTTTAGGAGATATGCACATTAAACCTATTAGAGGGGGGACCACGCCCACGCAAATTTTAACTGCAGATGCCCCTCCTAATGTGATCCGTGTACCAATAACAGTCTTGTATCTTATTGCGGAGCTTAGTTATGGAAATTTATTTGTTTTGATTACTGGCGTTTTGTGGCGGGCAGTGGTCCAATTACGCTATCTGCAATACCAACCGTCTCACGGTACCAAGAAACATGTCTACCAAGTTTCATAAAGATATCTCAATTTTTACTCAAGTTAGAGCTTGCACGGACGGACGGACAGACGGACGGACGGACAGACAGTCACCCGGATTTGAACTCGTCTCTTCATCCTGATCATTTATATATATATAACCCTATATCTAACTCGATTAGTTTTAGATGATACAAACACCCGTTAGGTGAACAAAACTATTATTCTCTGTAGCAACAGGTTGCGAGAGTATAAAAAGAAGATAGGGAAAAACAGCATTTTCCGCATATGAAGCAATATATGAATTCACACGAATGCCTTTCGGATTAAGATATGCACCCTCAATTTTTCAAAGATGTGTTGATGATATTCTACGGGAATATATACACAATTTGCGTTTGTTATATAGGACGTGTTAATATATTATCGACACCTGAAGAACATATTAAACACATCCAAATAATAGTAAGCGCATTACATAAAGCAAATATGAAAATCTCTGATGAAAAATCACACTTCTTTAAAAATCAAGTCGAGTATTTAGGACATATAATAACATAATAGGATAACAGTAGACCCAAAGAAGTAGAAACATTAGACAAGTATCCGATACCTCAAACTCTGAAAGAATTAAGGTCATTTTTAGGTATTGCGGGATATTATAGGAAATTTATACAAGAATATAACAAAATAACAAAACCTACCATACATCTACAAGGAGAAATGGTATAACAAGTAAAAAAATGTCAGCTAAGAAAAATTAAAATAGATAAAGAAGCTATAAAAGCTATACAAACAATTAAACAAATTAAAAGAACAAGTTGAACTATTTCAACCAAGATTTCTCAAAACCTTTTGACTTAACTACAGATGCGATATAATTTCGCCATGGGAGGAGTTTTATATCAAGAAAAGAAACCTTATTTTTTATATCAGAACAAGCACTCGACCGTAGTTCACCAACGAAACTATACATACCCAAAACAAATGGTAATTCATTTAAGATCAATTCATATTAAGAAAACTAAACGAAATAAAAAATAAACACAAACAACTTTTCCAAAGTATCACAGACATATTATTGAATATCAAACACCTGACTATCTAACAAAAACCTTAAAAGAAATTTTACACCTAATTTCATAAACGCGATAAAATTGATGAGCAAGACACTATTCACAAAAATCACTACTAAGTAACATTTTAACTACAAGCTCTTATAGCACAATCTAGTCGAGACATACAGAAAAACAAGCAATTGGAGTTATACAAATACACATAACGAGCGCATAGAAATGAAGAATAATAACGCGATGGAAATTAGACAACAATATTTTGGCCCGATATGGCGAAACAAATCAAAAACTTTGCACGAACTGTTCAAATTGTTATGAACAAAAATACGAAGTAGACCAACAAAACAACTGATAGGGAGAACACCAGCAACAATCTACCAGGAGAATCTATAGTATGGATATATTCCACATAGGAATAGAACATATATACTGTATGTGTAGGTACTCAAAATATTTATTAATGAGAGAATAGCAGATAAAGTACCACCGTAGACAAATTAGAAGAAATTCTCACACTTACATACCCATATTGTAGAAACCTACAACCGACAATGAGAGTATATTCACATCGATAACTTATATGTCACTATACCGACGACTGCATATAACACATAATCGTACGCCAACAGCTCATTCGACATCAAACGGTTCAGTTGAACGCTTACATAACACACTGATAGAAATCGCAAGAACATTACTAAACAAAATAACACCGATCCAGTTACGGAAATATTTAACGCAGCATACGAGTATAATAGGACAATACACTCGGGACAAAACAAAAACCAGTGGAAGTATTTTTCAATAGGAAGAATTATCCGGAAATAAACAATTATTGAAAAAAACAAAGACAAGTTTTAGAATATCATAATAAAAAAGAACACAAAAAGTTTATGAATCAAAACAAATAATTTACGCACTGTCAAAACGACGTACAAAACGGAACAAAAATATTTAAAATACATAGTTATAGAAAACCGTGGACACAGTTTTAGTAGAGGGAGGAAGACAACATGTCTTACATAAAGATAATATTCGTAACACTCCTATTGAATTTAATAATAACATAAAAGCATACACAGTGAGCAATCTAAAAATAAAAAATTTATCTTCACCGAAACTGACGACACATACCTAT